ATTTACAAAACCTGTGTGGACTTATCTTGATAGAATTCTTAAATGCTAAACTAATCGCAATATTTTCTCAATTAACTATTTAGACGACGAAATTGCCTAACTATTTATGCCTATAACATATTTGTAGTATTACTGGTTAATGATTGTAACGAGTTGAAAAAGTACTGTTTTTGCGCCAAACGGCGTAAACGCTCTTAAACTAGCTGTGCCCGCGACTTCTTACGCGTGAAAACCCGTTTTCGCAACATTTTTCATTGTTGCTCTGCTCCTATTGATCATAGCGTGATGTTGTATAGCCTATAGCCTTCCTCAATAAATGGGCTATCTAACACTGAAAGCATTTTTCAAATTGGACCAGTAGTTCCGGAGATTAGCGCGTTCAAGTAAACAAACAAACTCTTCAGATGTTACCGAGTTATGTAACATTTTGGTCCTGTACCATCATCTTCCCTTTTTCTCGCGTTTACTCTTTGGTCAATGTTTTTATTGCCTGCTATATTTGTTCTCTGCTTACCTTAATTAGCCTTGTGGTTGCGATAGAGTAGAACAAGCCCACCCCACTCTGTGGATGTCATAAAAAGCGACCAAGAGAGAAATATGCTAAGATCAGACCTTGACTCAACCCATTTGGCCTCAATTTGCTGCTGGTAAATTTGAGAGCGTTTTGTTCCTGCTGCGTTTTCCGTACGTGGCCTCCACTCTAGAACCTTGCTGCCCCATCGGCCGTCAGTTCTGCGTACTATATGCCCTGCCCATTGCCACTTCAGCTTGCTAATCCGTCAGTGCAGTGCAGACTAATTGACTTGGTAATGATAATCGCTAAAATCAAGTGGCAGTGGGCAGGGCAAATAGCTCGAAGAGCTGATGGCCGCTGGGGCAGGAAAGTTCTTGAGTGGCGACCACGTGCCGGAAGACGTAGCGTGGGCAGGCCTCCCACTAGGTGGACCGACGATCTGGTGAAGGTCGCGGGAGGTACCTGGATGCAAGCGGCGCAGGACCGGTCTTTGTGGAAATCCTTGGGGGAGGCCTTTGTCCAGCAGTGGACGTCTTTCGGCTGAAACTAACGAACGAACGAATGATAATGATGATAATGTACCCTCGATTGGTATTGCAGGAATGTGGGAGGAAGCCGAACAGCTGGTGGTAGAAGCGCAGGCGCGCGCGCCGCAGCAGCCCGACTTGTTGTTGGCCCAGGCCGTAGCCGCCGCGCACGCCGGCAAGCCTGCTGAGGTATGTGAACTTTATGTAGTTGAAATAGAGGCTATTTTGCTATGCATCGTCCTATGTGTGAGCGACTGTACACCATAGAATATGTCACTCAGTGGTTCCCAATGTTGTCTGGGCTACGACTCATCTAATACAAGTTCCCAAACTCGGGACCCACCTATAGGAAATTTAACCGTTACCAATATGCCTAAATAAAGGATTCGGATCTGTAGGGTGGTGTGTCGTTCTACAGAGAGGGCCCACTCAATGTTCGCTCGCGACCCGCCACTGGTTCACGAACCATGGTTTGGGAAACCTTGATGTAGTGGGTTTTGAACGGCTTATGCCCAACAGGCACGTGTTGTAGGACATTTGAAATCTTGTTATCGTTTTGATGTAACAAAATTAGTGTTGGTCCTCCAATTTACGCCATTTTACCCTGTCTTGTCTCATCCAGCGCTACTTTACTTAGCTCTACTTAGCTGGGGGGCATCCCAAATTGTTTACCTAAGTGGAGAGCATTTTAAATCTACACTACGCTTCCCAGTGGCGGTCTCCACTCAATAAGAACCAAAGCACACGATGCGTTGCGGCGCCGCACTGCAAAGCCGTATCGCGTGATGCAGCGCCGCACCGCTCGTGTGCCATAGATATTTATAAATGTAAGATGACGATAGATAGATTGATATTTCTATGTAAGATAACTAGGGTTGCCAGATCCAAAAACACAAAAGCCGGACTCTGTGCTTCAGTTGACCGGACAGCTCGCGAGTGAGTACCATCATCGTCAGTGCCCAACATCCTGATGCGTGCGCTTCATATTATTCTGTGACGACTTTCGCCTGGCGCGGCAGCCACATAAAAAGTCTAACAAAAGCCGGACAAGCCAGACAAGACCATAAAAAGCCACACATGTCCAGCTAAAGCCTGGCAACCCTAGCCGCAACGCATCCTGTACCTTTTTATGTTACTAAAGCCAGGTCCGTGAGCACGTAGAATTTTGTCCAATGACCCCAAGCTACCAATCCTTATCGCTCGCGCGTGATTATATTGCTGTTGCGACTGTACGACGGGCGGCCGCAGTGAGTGTGCGAGCGCGACAGCAACATAATTACGCGCGAGCGGTAAGGATGGGTAGCTTGGGGTCATTGGATAAAATTCTACGTGCTCACAGACCGGGCTTTATCTAGGGTTATTTTTTCTAAAATTGCAGGTCTCCAGCCGCTACCTAGCACAGCTCCTCGACAGCCACCCAGAACACCCATTCACAAAGGAATACAACGCCAAGAGCAACGAGTTCAAGCGGCTCGCCGCCCAGTATCAGCCCTCTGTAGCAAGTTGAACCTTGACGCAAGGCAAGAGAGTTTATTATACTGTATCACTTATATCATGAGTTAAAGATTTATGTATTATGGTAAATGGTATTTTATTTAGGATCCTTACCAAAGTTGACCTTACCTTGGACTGTATAATTTAATGGGACGGAGAGCATGTTATATTTGGTAGTCCTCTATCGTTTTTCCTAAAAGTGAGAATTTGGAATTTTAGACATATTCTCGATATCGATAGTTATATTCTCTCCTTCCTACCCCAAATGTTGCATGTTGAATGAATCTAAAATATACAGTACTTATATGTCGGTATAAATATAATTTGCTATAAATTGTTAATAGAGTAGTGTGGTGGGTCTCGAAGTCAGCAGGAAGAAGACAAAAAATACAGTATAAAGGACTTAGCAACGCGTCTTACTGGCGTAAAAGCGCAAGCTCAGTGCCGGGATACAAAAATATTCTTTCTCAATTACTCTACAGAAATCCTAAAAAGGTCTCAATGACTTGAAAGCCAGTTATGGTGCGTTTCGTATTGTAATCGCAAGAAGGATTTCAATCTCAATACGTGGTGTGCCATTTTAACTTATATCTAGAGGTGAAGAATAGGTGATACCGCGATTCAAGGTACACACAACGCCATCTCTTGACATTTTTAGGAACTAATCATCAATCATTTATAATAATCGGGAGTACGTACAGCGCCATCTGTTGTTGTCTTATAGAACTCTATTTGTAAAGTCTGGTGTGTTACAATACTTACAATGGGGCAATTAACGAAACCAATAAATAGACATACTTTTGTGAGCGGTTTAAACCGATTCTCCTAGGTCCTAGAGAGTGCAATTAAAGAAATATGACGTCACTAATTCGAAGTAAATCTAGTAATTACTAACCGTTCATCGTCTACATAATCGTGTTTTTACCACGTGGTCTTTTATAGAAGTTGTGCCTTAAAATTATTGCCAATCATGTCAAGTTTAAAATCAAAAACAACATTGTGGTGGAGTGGTTTATTGTCAGTAGAAGTTGTAGTCCTCCGAGTCGTCAGTCCCTTGCTCCTCGGGCTCGTCGTCCGCGTCGCCGGGCCTCGTGGTATTGGCCAGGATATAGAATTCGCGAAGCTTCTCGTCCATTGCTGTCATGTCCTGGAATCATTGTATATTGTCAGTTGGCGCCTCTGTAATGTCACTGTCACTTGCTAGTAGTGCCAACTGGTGAGGGCTGAAGCGCTAGGATAACTCGCATTTGCAGTCACTAGGATGGCGCCACTGTAGTTAGGTTCTCCTGTCAGTCGCCAGTAGTGCTAATGGAGAAGTTTCCATTTTTTTTTCTATTAATATAACTTGAAAATATAATATTGGTGAAAGAATCATGAAAACATCTCTACAAATAAAGATGTTACAGGGCCCTAATGATGCGCATAACAAATATTTCGCCCCATTTGAACGATGTCTTCACGTCATTAATTTGGAGTACAAACAGTGAATCACCCCTGGTCCAGTGCTGTTGACAGATCCATTTTTTTTTCAACATTACGAAACTTCTCCATTGTTATGTAAAAACGATAGCTCTCATTGTGCACAAAGGCTGTGACCCTAAAACCCCCGCGATATAAGAACTATCGTATCTTTTTTCATAACTATTTTGCAAAGTTTATGCTATAAATAATTTGTTTAATTACCTGTGTCAGTCCTAATGGCAGTTCCGGTGGTTCAGTCTCTCCCTTCACAAGGGACCAGTCGGTGGTGGCGTCAGTGCGGAAAAGGTCACCCGTTTGACCTGCAAAATTAAAAAGATTTTGATAACAATTTGTAGTAAGCTAGCTAGCACGTCTACGGCGAGTTAGTACGTCTACGTCAATCGAGTTAGTATGTCTACGTCAAATAAACTAATACGTGAAGCGAGCTACTTGACTCGTGACGTAACTTCACATGCACACGCAGCATTTCATACTAGAAGTATAGGCGCGTGTAATATAACGTCACGCTCAGCTAATTCCATAGAAATCTCGAAGCCTGTATGTAGGAAGCTACTGGTCATTCTGGATAGCATTGAGGTAGTTCAATAGTGAGCTGCGGACGAATGTCCAAGTTAGAAAAATAACTCGCGACTCCGTTTCATTGAGCTCCGGTGGACACCGTCGGGTTTTAGTGGATAGGCCCCCCTCCCCCCGCCTTCGGCCTTTAGTAAGTAGAATCTGGCCGCCAGAGTCCTACATAACCCACTGGTCGTCCTCATAGGCCAGTGAATATGCACAAAGAACTTCCCGACGGAAAAAAGGCGCATATAAAATGATATCACGCTCAGCTAAGTCCATACAAATCTTAAGGCTGTCTACTGGCCAATCTCAAAATCATTGGGGTAGGCAGTTCAGCAGTGGAGGACGGACGTCCTGTGGTTGAAATAATGATAAAGTGAAAAGTACCTTGCGGTGTGATGACTACCGTAGCCACCTCCTTGACGAGTGGCGGCGCGGTGTAGGCCTCCAGGTCTTGCTCGGTACTTTTCTCGCGCTCCAAGCGTTCCTGCTTGCGTTGGTGCCGCCAGGCTTTCTGCAGGTTGAAGCGTTCTGGCCTGGAATGATATACAATGACATGACCATGAGGCTATTGATAAGCACACAAGATGTGAAACTTCAGATCGTGGAAACGATCATCAAAAGCCTCTGCAGGGCTACGATGTGCACCATGACATAATCGACACAGACATTTTGTCTCCAACTAATGCCTCGATAAAATATGTTATCATGGCGTAAATCCTAGTTCGCCTAGTTTAGTATGAATTGCTACCTATAGAAGGTCAATTCCTTAACTCTTTCTATAACTAATCAGGATAAAATTACACAGAAACGGCATTAGACGTTACAGTACATATTTTCAAATCTGAAGTAATTTGTTGATAAATCATACTTACTGCTCCCCATCCTTGTAAACCTTCGCCTCCAAGTTCCTGATATCATGCCGTACATCAGCGAGCAGTAGCAGCATCAGATCCAGGGAACCTTGAGGGCCCCTCGCTCCTCGCGGGCCCCGGGGCCCGGCGTCGCCTTTGGGGCCCTCCATGCCTGGCGCTCCAGCGGGACCCTGAAACGGTTACACATTATTAATTTAGTACATAGAACAAGCCGTATTGACAGAAATAAATGGTTTTTTCCATTGACTAAATGTTAGGTTTCTTTTCTTCTGGTACTTGTCAGTACCAGTCGGGACCTGTGTTATTCCGTAATATAGCTTACCCTAAGAAAAAAAGTACTATCCCACATGATTCTTCGGGATAACATCATAAGGTGACTTAGTTTCTTCCGCCACTTCTCAGCACCAGCCCATATGTTGTCCCGAAGTGGTGGTAGGGCAAGCTATATTTGGGACATGTATAAGTGCCATTTACCAGTACAATTTAAATTTGAATTTTAATCACTAAAGGTACAGTCGCGGAATGAAAGGTTCGTCACCTTAGTGTCGGTTTTCGCTTGCACTAGGTACTGTAAGAGTCAAACCTGCCAACATAACAGCGCAAGAAACAGTGCTGCTAACATTTAAATAAATATGACGTTTGCTAACGTAACGTTTGCTAATGAGGTTTTGCTTGTTTAATTTTCTATCCCATGCAATGTTACAAAATCTACTTTTTTTTTTATTTAATAGAAATAATAATGGCAGGTTGAACCAACAAGAAGGTTTTATTTATCAATCATAATAATCTTGACAAGATAAATCGTCAAACAACTTTGATCTGAATAATTTTGAACTTTACTGACGAACAGTTAAAGATTATTTTCTCTAACTCGAGATTATTCTGTAACATAGTTTCAAAAGGTAATATGTGCTTGCGATTCGTTGAAGGAATCAATTTGAAAACTGACGAACCTTTTCATTCCGTGACTGTACATTGGATATCTATTCATTTTGTAACAAGTTTCCTTTTTATTCATATTAAAAATCAATGGGTATTGAAATAAGTTTTCGTCTTTCTTATTCATATTTACCAACCCTCGGACCTCTTTCACAGCGGCAGTATCCTCCTTCAAGCGGCGCCGTGGCGTCCAGCACTCTGTACGTCATTGTTCCCTCTGCAAATCTATCACCATCTGGAAAGTGCATTGCACATTCATCTTCATTTCAGCTACAGGACGTCCACAGCAGAACACAGACCTCCCCCCCCCCTCCCCCAATTTCATATCTAATATTCAGTAATGATAAAAAATATGCTGTATGTACCAGTTATTTT